AACAGTTATCAGCCATAGGATGAAAATAATTAACGGCTATTCGGGAAATATCAGAATTTTAGTATTGTGCATCCCTTTAAAAATGTAAACGAAACTATTATCATATAATTTGTGATTTAAAAAAATGCAATTAAATCCAAAATAGCATTGGACCGGAATGTATGGACGCATACTCATACATGTGAACACAACAAACACATACAGGCCACTTTCACAAAGCAGCAGAATATGGTTTTCAGCCACTGCAGCGTTTTTATAATAAACAGAACTGTGTGGACGGCCGTTATCGGACTTGGGTTGAATAGGCCTAGAGCGCTACAGTTTACACAAATTTATTAACGAAAGTGACAATCCCATTTTATAATCAAAATGAGACATTTACCTTTTAAAACTCAGAACTGCAATTTCTGTAGACCTGTGGTGTAAACAGAACCGCACTTAGCTATCTTGTTACTGCGAGCGGCACACGTGAGTGTTCGTTTGTGTGATTTTAATAACTCACAGAGACGGGGATATAATCTGTCATTCGACGATTTTAGATTCAGTCGCTGTCCTGAGCTACTCCCATCAGTATTATGGTCCAAATGCTGCACTTCTATAACTGCATTCAAAGCAGTTCATTAAAATTTGATATATTTGCAAATTGTGGCTATCGCGAGAACTAACATTTAGCCTATCACAAGTGAGTGTCATTAGGCTTGTTTGAGATGCGCCTCGCCTCGCCTGGGGTGTACCATAGACAGTATAAGAAGTGGACAGAGCCATCTCATTGGAACTCAGTTGAGACAGTTGAAGCCCATTTTTAGCGATTTTTGAGCACTTCCGTTCCTGACGCGCAGACTCAAACCGACTCAAACTAAGCTTATGACGTGAGCAACCTGTCTGACAGACGTGAATCTTCTAGTAGCTGTGCGTGAAAATTGCCAACGTTAATCTTGCAGAGACGGGGAACTTGAGCAAAGAGTTCTTTGGCGTGAGTGAGCAGGAGTAAGTATTCCGTTGCTTTTATGGACTCATTATCTATGGGCTTCTCCCTTGACGGGACGTCCCCCCGATTGCCTGCGAGCTTCTCCTGCTGTCTGTACGGTAATTTCTGTACAGCGCGACAGAGAGTCGAGTGGTTATGACGCAATCGTTAGCCAATTTTTACAAAATCTGTTTCTACGGGGCCATAATGTAACATAGAAGTTAATGGAGCCCTTTATACATTGTCGTGTTTCTTTAGAAATAAATAATGGACAAATGGAGTCTTTAAACGCCTCAGATGTAAAGTTATTTGCTGTCAAAGTGACGCCAAAATGAATGGGAGTCAATGGAAATGCTAACGCAAGTGAAGTTCTGCTACAACATGGCGGCACCCGGGCGGCTTCAACTTCCGGTCGATGGATTACCCCCTTGGGGGTGTACTTGGAGATGTATGCGAGAGTAGGCGGCTGCTAGCCTGGATGCCAGCCCGAACCCCGGCCACAACATTTTTTGGTCGGGAAGTTCGGTCTGGACTCGCTCCATTGAGGAGTAATTATGATCAGTCAAAAAATGTTCGGGCCAATCAAATTGCCAGGGCGGGCTTTTTATACGATGATGGACAGATGATCTGCAGGGACGTAATCATCACGTTATCAAAGAGCGCTTAACTGGTTTCCCTCAGAGATGACTGCCGCTGGAGAACTGAGATGTATAGATTCCGCTATCGCGTCTGTTGTAAAAGAAATCGACAGCGCATTCATTTTAATAGACGAACAGAGAACTGTAATCAAGGCATTTGTCGATCGGAAAGATGTGTTTGCCGTCCTTCCTACGGGGTTCGGCAAAAGATTAATTTATCAGCTGGCTCCGATGGTCACTAAGAAGATGGGACGCAATGAAAACCCTGTGGTCGTTGTGGTTTCTCCTTTGGTCGCACTCATAGAGGACCAAGTAAAAGAAGCAACACTCGTTATTTTACTTCTTCCAGCGTGCGTGCATTTGAGTTCTGTAGTTGACAACTGTGCTATGCAAAGTAGTTGACTTACTGCGTTGCTCTCATTGGTTGTAGGTCTATCCAATTGAGTACAGAGTTTTTTTTTCTCCTGGTTCGGTTAAGACCATTTTTTACAGTCTATGGTTAAGACACGCCTCATAATCAAAGCCCTATAGAGAGCCTAAGTCCCGCCCCTCCGCTTCCGGCTCATGGGACCTTATTTCGGAAAAAATATGTATGGTAGTCAATGGCGAGAGACAACTTATCTTTTTATTCCGTCTGAACTGTACCCTGAATTACACATATGATGTTTGTCAATTTAAAAGATAATTATGAAAGTCAAGAAAGTCGCAGTTTGTCATAAAACAGAAGAGTGACATTTAGTTTTATGTGAAAATCGCTCAATGAACTACATCTCCCGGGAAGCGAAACAACGAGCGAGATCCGCTGCTCGTGTGTGTGCAGTCTGGTACAAAACACTCAGGCATGACGGCGTAACGTTACGATTATAACGTAAGACTATAGACGAAATGACAGACGTTAGCTTCAGTAAAGTTAGCTTCATTCATTGAGAGAAAATGTGCGCCTTTTGAGTTTGTAGTCTTTTTAATTACGTATTTTCACAGTCTTATACCTCAACAGTTTTACATCAAACTGCGACTTTCTTGACTTTAAAATGTATCTTTTAAATTGACAAACATCATATGTGTAATTCAGGGCACAATTCAAACGAGATCAAAATATTTGTTGTCTTTCGCCATTGACTACCATGCAATATTTTTCCGAAATAAGGTCCCATGGTGGTCGACTGGAAGGGGAGGGACTTAGGCTCTCTATGGAGCAGTATCAGACTCACATTCTGACTAGAATATGAGTATGATGACGAAGTCAGGCTAGGCGGCTGCAGTGAGGGGAGGAGTGAAAAGTGCAGGCAAGACGGACAGATCGCTCTTTTCTCAGTGGATCTGACACCTGTGAGATCAAAGGCGGATATCACGGGATTCACGCTCGTGCACGGTGTTGCTAATAAACTGGATGTAATTTAAGTTCTGTTGCTTTTATATGAAAATAAATATAATGAACAAGACACCCAAAGTACTTGTTATTTAATTACATTCCAAAACGTGTTTATCAATCATTTTTTCTTTAATACAGTCATGTGTTTTTATATATTTTTTAAAATAAAAATGACATCACATAACCCATATCGCACTGTTAGAGAGTTTGGGAATATTCACACATAACGTATACTCATAAAACATGATATCAGAGTTTTAAAATCAAACATTTTAAAAGAGAACAATAGATCACGGTTGTTTAAACCAATGAGCATTAAGCTGTGTCGTCAGCAAATCGTTTCCCATTATGCTTTTGATCAGCACACGAGCGCAGTTAGTGGAGAGCAACTGCGCGCGACTGCAGAATCCGACATGTGCGCCTTGCGGTCGCGAGAGTTTTTTAACATAAGTCAGCATGACATCAGAGCAAGGCGGACCGCACTCGGACACATTTCTAACCGGCATGCATCTCGCGGTGATCACCGGTGATCGGTTCTGCGCAGATTTTGCTCATCTCAAACAAGCCTATTGTTTTGTTTATATTCGTTGTCATTTTTTATTTGGCAGGCTGGGAATTTTACATTATAGTCCATTACTGCTATGTTCTTAACTGTAACTGGTGTGTAGGAAAGCTAGGCTGTTATCTCTTACAGAACAGTAAGCTAAAGTTATCGACACATTGGACTGATAAAGAGGATGTAACGTTAATGATGTTAAAAAATTCTTTCTTTCTTTCTTTCTTTCTTTCTTTCTTTCTTTCTTTCTTTCTTTCTTTCTTTCTTTCTTTCTTTCTTTCCTTTTTTTACAGAATGTTGCAGTGTTAAAAATTAATAATTTATCTGTGCATATCATAATTATATATTTTTTAATTCAGTGCACTTGAACGGTCAAATACACAATTATATGAAAGTAAACAGTTTGGAGAAAATCAATATAGGCTAATATTGGATTAATGCATTAGGTCTTAAAGTGACAGCAGCCTAATAAACCTGCTGCTGTTTAGTTCACCCCTAAAATTTAAATTAAATCATCAATCATTTACTCACCCTGGTGTTGGTATATTGCCATATGCCCTTCTTTCTTTTTTGAAACACAAAAGGAGATTTAAAAAAAAAAAATGTCCCACTCACGCTCGTCCAAATAGCAGTGAATCAAATAGAGCAGAATTAAACCTTTTTTTAAAAGAATCAAAAGTATCACAGAATAGTCTGATGTTACATGTGACGTATATTCCAAGTGTTATGGGGGGTGTTTGTTTGGGTTTGGTAAAAAAAAAAACTGAGATTTTATGTAGCTATGTAGAAAATCCTGACCTGACCCTTCGGTCTTCTGTGCACGGCTGTGTGACGTGCACGTTCAGTAAGATGCTAAATAGCGCCGCAGTTCACTCTGACTCGCTCAGAAAAGGCACACACGTTGTGAACTTCAATCAAGACCAAGGAAAAATGTGAAATAAAATACAATCTATGTACTTTCTTCTCTGAGGTGAATTTATCCGTTGTGTTCATCTGTCAGTCAACCGGAGTTCCGGTCTGGAGATATTCTACTTAGTGAAGAAAATACACAGATACTTTTTTCTAGAAATTCTAGGTGTTGTATTTCTTGTAAGTTAGTGTTTTTATTCATCTTAATTTCTCACAACTTGTGCTTTTTCTGGACGAGTCGGAGTGAACTGCGGCGCTAATCAGCCAAGCCAGTAAGCAGTCGTGCACAGAAGACCAACGGCCAAGGTCAGGATTTTCTCTAAATAATGGGCTAGCTACATTAAATTGCGCCTTTTGACCGAAAAATGACTGCTTCGCCCCTGTCTGTTATTATATACAGATGTCAATCCCAAACACTGACTGTATGAATATGTCATTGGCTTAACGTTATTGATCAGAGTCCACAGTTGAACTACATCCAGAAAAAGACGAGATCTGTGTACAGTAAGGTGTTTTACAAGAAGGCTTTCAACATTGTTGCTGTTCTGTCTTTCTCAGCTGGAGGGGAGAGTGAAGGATCGATAGTAGCCGTGGATCGGACACAGGCAGGCGGAGGCTCCTTATGGAGAAGGAGCAGGGCAGCGTGGCCTCCAGTGCCAGTGTCACCATCCCCAGCACCACCTCAGCCTCCACCGTATCAAACTCCTCCGGCAGACAGCAGCCTGTGCCTCAGATATCAGTCTATGGAGGAATGACGGACAGACAGACCGTTCAGGTAGAAAGAAATCTCAATCACAGTCAGTCTATTGCAACTTCATATTCCCCATAAATCTGCATTAAATCCCCTGGCGCCATCTACAGGCTATGTGCAGCAACCACATATATAATCAATCAACTTGAGGGTCTCATTCATCATTAATGTGGGGCTCTTCTTTTGTCACATTTTTTATTAACACAGTATTATTTTAACAAATATAAAAAATTTAGTGCAATGTAATAGACTTTTATTCTCCAGTATCCTTAAATATGCTCAGTGATAGTGCAGAACTCTATGCATTAGAGAGTGAGTCCACAGCTGACCAGGACAGGAGTGATTGGCTGCAGATAACAGGACCTCTGAAATCAGCTAAATTTGAATGGTAGTATGGGGTACCACCTTTTACAGTCTATGGGTACCACTGAGCACACTGAGCTGGATTTAAGAGAGCTCAGCATTTGGTCCCTCATAGGAATAAACCGATTTTCTTTTGGCGGTATGTACATTGTTAAACATGTTGATATTATATAAGAGACTGTGAGACATGTAAGCTTGCTTTTTAAATGAGAAAGTAATTTTTTTTTCTTTTTAGATTTGTTTTAAGAATATCTATCCCCAATCTGTGTTAAGGAACAAAACTGCATAGTGCTTATTTCTTGAGCAAGTTAAAATTAAGCTCCTCCCTTAACTACACTGCAGAAATTATTATAATATATACAGTGTATATATATACATGAACTAATAATGACCAATATATTTTTACAGCATTTATTAATTTTTGTGAATGTTAGTTATATAAAAACAATTGTTCATGTTAGTTCACAGTGCATTAACTAATTTTAACAGATACAACTTTTGATTTGAAATTTTTTAGTAAATGTTAAAATAAGATTAACTAAGATAAGGTTAATAAAGTTGCCAACTAATAGTGAAAGGGATAGTTCATCCCAAAATGAAAATTCTGTCATCATTTACTCACTCTCAAGTTGTTCCAAACCTGTATACATTTCTTCTGCTGAACACAAAAGAAGATGTTTTGAAGAATATGGGTAATCAAACAGTTGATAGGCCCCTTTGACTTCCATAGTATGAAAAAACAAAAAATACTATGGAAGTCAATGGGGTTTATCAACTGTTTGGTTACTGACATTCTTCACAATAACTTTTGTGTTCAACAGAAGAAAGAAATTCATACAGGTTTGGAACAACATGAGGGTGAGTAAATGATGACATCATTTTCATTTTTGGGTGAACTATTAACTACATTAGTTAACATGAATTTACAGTGAACAATACTTCTGCAGCATTTATTATTCTTAGTTAATCTTAATTTTACCATGTTTCATTTATTTGTTTAGCAGCCGCTTTTATCCAGAGTTCATTCTCAGATTGATTGCCCTGAAGACAGTGTGTACAGATCATGTTAGGTGGGATACTTTAGCTCTGAAGGGAATGTAGTCATGCTGTCGGGCTGCTGTGATGGATGGCGGTGACCCCACATGCCATGTCATGACTCAGGCATGCAGCCGTGCTGGAGCACACCCAGTGACCCTCTGTTTACAAACTGGACGCTACAGTCGTTCTTTCTGTATTAAACATAATGTGCTGGTTGCACATGATACAATTAGAAGTGGTTTTTTTTACACCTCTGTGGTGTAAAATACATCATAAATAATATGTGCCCTAGACGAGGACTTAGAAGACTGGGGAAGAATATTATTCACATGTTGATTTAATTATACCATCCCATCTCATCTTACTCAGGTCATCCAGCAGGCCTTGAACAGGCAGCCCAGCTCAGCGGCAGCTCAGTATCTACAGCAGATGTATGCAGCTCAACAACAACACCTCATGCTTCAGACCGCAGCACTACAGCAACAGCACCTGAGTCTGGCTGCAGTGCAGCAGGTGGGCATATATGCCATAGACATACACAGTGGGCCCTAAAAGCCATTACAAAATATTTGCTTTAATAACAGCAGCACCCAAGCTGCATGAACTTCATCAGTTTGTGTAAAACCAAATGAGAATGATGCAAAGAACATTTTCAGTTTCAATGGAAGAACATCTGACCATCTGTACAATTAGTTACATGATCAGTGTCACAAATAGTAAATATAGCTGCGAGCAGCGATTGCGGGCCCAAGCCAGTGGCACCGCCACCCTGGTGCCACCGGCCTGGGCCCTCCATCGCTGCTCGCAGCTATATTTATAACACACACACACATATACCGTAAAACTTCAAATAATAGCCGAGTCCCAAATAGACGCCTGTCTCTTTTACACGCCTGGTGTGGCTGCAGCTTTGGGTAAATAAAGGCCGGTCTCAAATAGAGGCCGGGTCTGTTTTTTAGTTTCGGGTTGTATTTAATCCTCTAAAACCGCCAGATCGCCCGCTTTTTGGCGGCCGCCAAAGCACATTTTGTCCCTCCAAAGCCTTTTTTTGATCGATGAGTGATGTAGAATAGAATGACTGCTGCGCTTGACAGGGCGCGTTACGAGCAGAGAGAGAGAGAGAGAGAGAGCGCCCCGACCGCGCGCGCGCACTCTCCCGTCTTCAAACAACGAGCGCTGTCTTGCTCTCTCTCCCTCGCGCATATTAATCAAAATCAATTGACGCGATAGTAAAAGGTCGGAAGACCGCAGTTTCACGTGGAGCATTTGGAGATTTTTAGAGATTAGAGACAGGCCTATACACTCAATGAACGACATCTCAACACTAAATTATAAAGGCCTGTCTCATATAGACGCCTGTCTCAAATACAAGCCGGTGCAGTTCGACGATTTGGGTAAATAAAAGCCCGGGCTACTATTTGAAGTTTTACGGTATATACATATATATATATATATATATATATATATATATATATATGTGTGTGTGTGTGTGTATATATTAGGGGTGGAACGGTACATGTATTCGTATCGAACCGAAACGGTACGGGCGTCACGGTTCGGTGCACGAATTTGCATGGAGAATACACGGTACAAAAAAAACCCTATTAAATAGCGATAAATTTCGCTTTATTCGCTTTTGGTGTGACTGTGAACGCAGCAATGAACAGGCTGCGATCAAGATTGCAATGCTGGAGTGTGTGTGTGTGTGCGAGAGAGAGAGAGAGAGAGAGAGAGAGAGAGAGAGAGAGAGAGAGAGAGAGAGAGAGAGAGAGAGAGAGAGAGAGAGAGAGAGAGAGAGAGAGAGAGAGAGAGAGAGAGAGAGAGAGAGAGAGAGAGAGACGCGATTAACAGTATGTGTGTGTGTGTGTGTGTGCGCGCGCGCGTGCGAGAGAGAGAATTATCTCTCCTGCGCGATCGAACAGTGGAAACATAAAAACATACTCCGTCATTTTTTTAAACAGGACATCATTAAAACTGCAAATTGTTACTTATATTTGTGTACACTCGCAATAAAACACTACATTGTGCTTTTGTCACACTCTAAACTCTTGTCGAACTGTAACCTACAACTGTTAACAAAAGTTTTGAACGGTAGTATTATTTTATACGGAAATCAACTATTTATAATTCAGATGAGAATAAAGTTAGGGTTAACTAAAATGAAGGAAAACAAATATATTGATCTGAAATAGCAAATTAATTTTAAATTCATTCAGGTACAATTACCAAACATATCTCAAGGTCTTTTCATCTTTTTAATAATTTAATTAATAAACTAATTATATAAAACTATTGTCAGTGCACTACAAATAAACTGGTTCTATGCCTTTATTAATAAAACTTATTTAAAAAATACAAGGCTTAAGACATTTATAAAAATGCCTTCTGCATTTTTGTTTTGCTTTTCACTCCAATGTACCGAAATCATACCGAACGGTGACGTGTGAACCGAGGTATGAACCGAACCGTAACTTCTGTGTACCGTTCCACCCCTAGTATATATATATGTATATATGTGTGTGTATATACTGTATATATATACACACACATATATATATATACATATACACACATATATATATACATATATATATACACACATATATATATATATATATATATATGTTTACACACACATATATATATATATATATATATATCGTCTCGGTTACATATGGTAACCCTCGTTCCCTGAGGGAGGGAACGGAGACGTAGGTCAGACTGACCAATAGGAATCTCGCTAGAGAGGCCAATCTACTTCGAGTGAAACTAAAACAAGCCAATGCACATTGGCATGCAATCATTTGCGTCAGCGCGGGTATTTAACAGCAGCTGTTATGATTGCACACTAGTTTTTTGCTGAGGAGCCAAACCTGAAAAAGCTGGCCGCCCCAGCGGGCGGCAGCAGATGTGGCGACGGGACCTACGTCTCCGTTCCCTCCCTCAGGGAACGAGGGTTACCATATGTAACCGAGACGTTCCCTATCGGTCAGTCACTACAACGTAGGTCAGACTGACCAATAGGAATCCCTACCAAAGCGCCACAGCTGCTGCACCCCATCCAGCGCCCCATGCAAGCCTCTACACCTTCTTGCCTAGAAGGACGATAGGAGGAGGCTACACACAGAGTGTATCTGTCACTGTTGTTCCGTAATAACCCATACAGTGAGATTATTGGATAACACTGGGAAAGCGTGCCCTTCAGTTAGGAAGGAGGACGCTGCGGAAGCCACTTACTTCAAGGAGTTATGTGGGGAATACATATGGACTAGCCCGAAGGCTGTACTACATATGAGATAGTGGGTGACTTAGCCCAAGGGAAAGACACGGGCTTCCGTTAGGAGCAGCCGTGGAAAATATACACATATGGGATCCCCGTAGGGTCACACATATGGAACCCAGCCCAGATCCGGTTCTCAAGGATTCAGCGGATAAAGGCCTGGCACCTGGACGCTCCGCCATGTCCGGGCCGAGGGGTTTTTGGAGGACTCAACAGGTTTTTCACTCTGGAGCAATAAGGGTGCACAGTAGGGTGCAGCAAGCCGACAGAGCCGGGCCTCTCGGTGCTTCTACCCGTTTAGGGTGAAAACACGGGAGGAGACCGGCTCTACACGTAGGCTATAATATCTAGCGAACGTGTTAGGTGTCGCCCAGCCCGCAGCTCTACAGATATCTGTTAGCGAGGAGCCACGTGCCAGCGCCCAGGAGGATGCAACGCCTCTCGTGGAGTGTGCATGCAACCTGAGCGGGCAGGGCACGCCTTGAGCTTGGTAAGCCAAGGCGATGGCATCCACTATCCAGTGGGCCATCCTCTGCTTGGAGACAGCCTTTCCCCTCTGCTGGCCTCCATAACAGACAAAGAGCTGGTCTGAGGTCCTGATGCTTTGAGTTCTGTCCACGTACATACGCAGAGCGCGAACGGGACAGAGCAAAGCCAGGGCTGGGTCTGCCTCCTCCAAAGGCAGCGCTTGCAGGTTCACTACCTGGTTTTTGAAGGGAGTGGTAGGAACCTTGGGCACATAGCCAGGCCGGGGTCTTAATACCACATGGTTGTCACCCGGCCCGAACTCTAGGCACGATTCGTCGACCGAAAATGCGTGCAGGTCTCCTACCCTCTTGACAGAGGCCAGTGCAACCAGTAGCAAAGTCTTCATGGAAGAAGCTTTAAGTCTACTGACTGCAGAGGCTCAAAGGGAACATCCTGAAGTGCTCGAAGCACCAGGGGAAGATCCCAAGAGGGTATGGAGTGGGGTCGAGGAGGATTTAATCGTCTCGCCCCCCTAAGAAACCTGACGACCAGGTCGTGCTTCCCCACTGTTTTGCCATCTACGTGGTCGTGATAAGCTGAAATAGCTGCAGCATGTACTTTGAGGGTGGAGGGAGACAGCCTTCGCTCCAACCCTTGCTGCAAGAAGGAAAGCACAGACCCTATCGAACATCTTCGGGGGTCTTCTCGGCGAGAAGAACACCACTCGTCGAACAGGTTCCACTTCAGGGCGTAAACACGTCTCGTGGACGGCGCCCGTGCTGAAGTGATGGTGTTAAGTACCTCAGGGGGTAAGTCACCTAGAACCTCCGCGTCCCATCCAGGGACCAGACATGGAGTTTCCAGAGGTCTGGACGCGGGTGCCATAGGGTGCCCCGTCTCTGAGTCAGAAGATCCTTCCTCAGAGGAATGGGCCAGGGAGGGACTGTCCCAAGGAGCATGAGTTCTGGGAACCAAGTCCGGGTGGGCCAATAGGGAGCCACCAGAAGGACCTGCTCCTCGTCCTCCCTGACTTTGCACAGTGTCTGTGCAAGTAGGCTCACTGGGGGAAACGCATATTTGCGGAGGCCCCGGGGCCAGCTGTGTGCCAGTGCGTCCGTGCCGAGTGTTCCCTCGGTCAGGGAGTAAAACAGCTGGCAGTGGGAGGTCTCTGAAGAGGCAAACAGGTCTACCTGAGCCTCTCCGAACTCTCTCCAGATCAGCTGAACCACCTGGGGGTGGAGTCGCCATTCTCCCGGAAGCACAGCTCGTGATAGCTCGTCGGCCACACGGTTGAGCACGCCAGGGACATACATGGCTCGAAGCGACCTCAGACGCTTCTGACTCCAGAGGAGGAGATGGCGGGCGAGTTGCGACATGCGACGGGAGCGTAGACCACCTTGTCGGTTGATGTACGCCACGGTCGCAGTGTTGTCCGTACGGACCAGCACGTCCCTGCCCCGTAGCGGCCTTTTCAGGCGGCTCAGAGCGAGATGTACTGCTAGCAACTCGAGGCAATTGATGTGCCAATGCAGTTGGGGAGCCGTCCACACCCCTGACACTGCATGCCCGTTGTACGTGGCACCCCAGCCGGTGGCAGAGGCATCTGTGAAAACCACAGCATGCCTGGAGACCTGTTCCAAGGGGACTCCTGCCCGAAGGAACGAGAGGTCTGACCACGGGCTGAAGGTCTGGCGGCAGGCCGGTGTGATTGCCACCCGGTGAGTGCCATGATGCCACGCCCATCTCGGGACTCGGCCGTGAAGCC